TTAATAGATATCAATATTGCAATTAATGTTTCTTTTATTAAAATATCTTTACTAATTAAAAGATAAGAATCACATACTAAAAGTAGCGTCGCGCCGGCACACTTTTGGCAAAAACAGTCACGCCAGTAACTTTTGTCTGCAGTAAAAATATACTACTACTTTTTGAGAAAATAGAACTTTTGGTCCCTCCAAATTTTATCCAGTTTACAAGTACTCTTCTGATTATGATTAACTTGATATATCTATAACTCTGCTCTTCAAGATTTGATATAGAAAAATAATACGAAAAAATTTATATTTTGAAACGGCCAGGGTGTAAATTTTTCTTAAAAGTTTTCACTCAAGAGTAATGTTGCCTCGAATTTTTTTAGGTTTAAGATTACCTTTGAAGTGTTGAAATAGAATGATGTTACTTTTTATTGTTAAAAATATTAACAGCAATATCAATTTTTTAACTGTTAATGTTTTTTTTAATATGATAGGGTAATATTGTTATAATTTTAAACTTTTGAGATGATATTCAATCAATAAAACTTGGGGGTAATATTGTTCCTAAATAAAAATTTTTAGAAGTAATTTGCACTTCAACCCTATTTTGTAACATAAAACCCACGGTTTTAAGTACACTTATGAGCCGCAGTAATAAAATAAAGAGTTCTCCTTTTCTTTTTTGATAAATTTAATGAGGTGCTTAATAGATTGATCTTGAGAAGGATGGAAAAATGTGAAAGGCGAAAAGAGAGAAACATGGAACATATAAACAGGAATGTGCATAAATAGAATAGTTGCTTGCATGAAGGAGGCACCTTCATGTGCTGCTATGGCCACACCCCAAAGTTAGGTTTCCTCATACATCACCCCACTGTGGATTGAAAGGCCCATCTATATCTCTCGTGTGTTTGTGTGTGAACAAATTAATAGGGTTGGGTTTAGTGAAAAAAAACTAGTTTCTCACAACAGAGTGATCCAGGATGAGAATCTTCAATGAGAAAAGTATTCATATTTAGTACCTGATAGTATTTCGAATAAGATTACCTCTGATAGGAGGATAGTTGTACCTATAAATATATATATATGAACGTTATATAAGTATGACCACATTAACACTAAACTTTATCATTTGTTGTAATTTGCCTAACTCTTACATTTATTAATGACGTGGCACCAGGTGGAGTAGAGTATATTAATTCTTATTCCATTCAAAACATTAATGCGGATATTCCTTTGCTTCTATTTACCATGCACTTCTAACATATTTCATTGGAACTAAGAAAACCTTAAATATTATTAATTAATTTATCTAAAAATTTAATAATTTTATAACATATCTTTATTTAATTATAATTTTTAATAAAATAAAAATTCATACAATGATAAATAACTGATTAAATTATATATCCGCATAAAAAATTAATGACATGACTTGTTAATGGGATTAGAAAGCACATTTTTTATCTGCTCCATAAATAGGATGAGAGGAATATTTTGTCCCCTTATTTTATTATAAAGACATGAATTATTTTTTTTTAATAGAAGTAGATACATAATTTTCCTCTAATTAGTTTTTTATGAGCAAAATATTTCTGTTGAATTGAACTTAACGAAAACTAAAAAGCATATAATTTACAGCTTCTGAAATCACTATGAAAATTTTCAACCTCAACATAACATCGGCCTCTTTTGTTATGGGCCATGGGCAGTTCTTTGTACAGCGGGGAACGAAAGAATAGCACTACCAAGAGACGTTCTTAACTGAAAAATCGATTTAAAAACTTGCTATAAAAATTCGATTATCAAATATGAAAACGTACTATGAGTTTCATTATAACATCCACGCATTCAAGGCAAAAAAATAAAATAAAATCAGAAGGCATACTGTGCATGACACGTAAGCAGCCAGATTATATCCAATTTGCAACATGTAGGCCCCACATGTTTAAAATAATATGTGGAGATGAAATTATATTTTTGTTTTTGTTATCGTATGTGTACACTTCTACAAGAAAAGGTTGGAGAAAAAAAAAACCAATACAAAAGGTAAAATTTCCACACGGTATGTATTGATTAAATAATTACTTATCAAATTCTCAGTAGCTAGATATATGAATTGAGTGTAAAGATATTTTTAGGACTTTTTTGATCTTTTGAGTTTGAGTAAAGAATTGGGATATCACAATATCACACTTCACGTATATGGAATATCCTAAATTCTGCCTCTATGAGGCTTACATAGTAACATTAACTTCCTATATGTCTTGCTTGACTATGCATAATCAACTAGCTTGCTGTGGAATATGACCTACATATGCTTATTTTCGTAATATACACGAAATTTTCAACGTGGTTTTTTTCTCACCACAATTTAGATTAGATTCTTTTAAAGTCAATAGCCTCATATTCATCTCACAGTTATTGATCGTTAATTCAAATTCTCTTATGTCATCTGGAGTTGTGGGACTCATGGGTCCCACTTCTAAGTATACATGTCCCTACAGAATAGTATCAAGCTGCGAGCTTTGCGCGCGCACACATTTTGCAAACAATTCTTTCCTTCGGCCATTTTTCCAACATGTGCTGAGATATTTTTGAGAGAGTTATTCTACTCCATAATCCTTGAATCGAAAAAAAGTATATGAATAATGAAGGTATGCATGTATTACCTGTGGTCATGAATATAAAAGTTAAATAACTAATTTGATGATATTATGAAAATTAGTTAAGTTAGTTATTTCTTATAAGTATGCGTTGATCTCTCTAAAGTCTAAGCTATCATCTTCAATCGTGTATACTAGATTATTGGAATTATTCCTATTGGAGGGAACTCCTTACTTTCAATATAGATATTTTGGGAAAAGATAGGAAATAAAGTGAATTGAACTTTTATATTTAGTATTAAATTAAATCTCAAGGTAACTCTTAAATTCAGGACGAGAGGTAGTGTAAAATTATTTTTCTGTTTTTCCACATGTTTTATTCTTTATTTATCTTATTTATGACGCATTATTTTAGATATGGCCCAGAATAGCAAACTTGTCTTTCTTGAAATTCTCTATCCATCTTTTGATCTTTTCTAACATAAGCTTGTGATCACTAAAAAAAGTTTTGAAGAAAAGGTATATGCGTGTAATCCATTGATTCCACTGCTTCTTTTTACAACTTTATTCTAATATCAAATACAATCTGTGATGAGCTTAATATTCTGTTCATTGAAAATATATATATATATATATATATATATAATATCTGTACTCATACACACACACACACACACAGAATCATCCTGTAAAAATCAATATATACCAGTTACTTTAAATGATTGATAATTATATGAACCAGCGAAGGCATCGTACATAGATCAATGATGTTTAAGAGGCATTAGTGTTAAAGCTCTGTGAAACTTTTTGCCCACCTTAATTATATTCTCCTTAATATATATTCTGAGCGCGTGCGTGTGTGTTCACACTGTTTTTTTGTTTTTCTTCTTTTCTTAAGACTTCTGCTGGCCAACTAAGCTTGCACTGAAGTTACTTGTTGAGGAATTTAAGGATCACAAATGAACGACCAGCTTTTGCTCCATATAATAATGCTTTATTAATATACGACATTTCTTAGTTGTTTCTTGCGTGGATTAATTTATATTATACTACCTCCCGTCTTATTTATAAGATCTTGTTTGTAGACTACCAACGGGGTCTTATAATTAAGACTAGGGGTAGCACGTATTCTTTTGAGTTAAACATATACTCCTCCGATCTTAAATATAAGACCCTTATATACTGTGGTTAACTCAAATTGAAGAGATTCAATATAACAAGGCCAAGGTTTTTCTTTTTTGGTCATAATGCAGATTAAATAATATCGAAAAAATTAACTGTAAAAACATATATAATTCAAAATTAATCTCTGTTTTTTTTTTTCCAATTCAAAACAGTACTTCCTGAGTTCCTTTAACTCGTACAAATTATATACTGGGAGAATCCTAAAAAAATACTTTTAAATTTTAAAATTCTAAATTAGTCTTGTTTACTACCTTTAAATAGCAATTGACTATATTTAAAAAGCAAATGACAACATATTTTTATAGTAATTTCTGATTTAAGATTTTAAAATTTTAAAAGTAATTTTTTTTGGGATTTTCCCAATGGTTGGGGCCTACATCACGGGCACGTACTTATTATTCAGCAGACCAACATTATATACACAATCTACAGCTTTTCTTCCACTAAGACATTTTGAGGAACCAGATACCTGCACAAGATCATTGAGTGGAGAAAGGGAAATAATGGCGATATGCGAATTTATTCTTCTCACTTTTTCTATGAAGCACCAAGTTTTCCATATGTGAACGTTTATACTGTGAGAATTGGGAACTAAGGAAACTAAAGCAGATTCTACCTGTTTCTGGTCTTGACTTAGTTTGGTTTAGTGCTGTCAAATTGATATCCAATTAGTGGGTCGGACATCAAAAGAAAAATGCGATGATTCAGATACTGATTTTTAATTATTCGATCTTTATTATAATTTTTGTCAACAAATTTTTGAAAAAAGTGATTCATCCAGCTCTCATCAAGTTAGAATGGGGTATCTCTAACTAACAAAATGATCATGAACTTAATAGTTATATGATGTAATTGTATTTCTTATACATGACAATCATGTTCTATCCTATATATCTGTTCAAAAAAAGATTCATGATACTCATTATAATTAATCCTTAGGGCGAGGTCGGTTTAATTTATAAAGTGCAGTGTAAATGAGAGAATGAATATGAATAATAAAAACAAGTGTCATATGTGATTGAACTTGTATGGATCTTTTTGTTTTGGCATGCAAACTAGCCAGTATTAACTATGATTGCTAATTAATCGAATCTTAAAAGATGCAATACTAAATGGTGCGAATAACATAATTATAAATTAATATATTCTTGACGTTGCGTGACCTCAATACACAAGTGTTAGACTAAATTCCCAAGGATTTTGCATGATAAATAATGGGGTATCTCAATCCATCACTTTTCTTCACAGTTTAAAACTTTGAATTAAAGCTCATTCCCTTGCCACAGGCACACATGTTCTTCCCTGTTTAAACTTGAAAGCTCTCTCTCTCTCTACAGACACACACAAATGCAGATAATATACACGTACAATTGATATATAGTTCTCATTACTCAAAATAAAAAAACTGGATAATTGAACAAGCATCTAATTAACACAGGACTTGAATGTAACTTAATTGGTGGAGCCAATTAATTCATAAACACATGACAGAAGAAGAAGGTTACTTCATGATTTGGCTCTGATCGCAAGCAAGGTAATGAAAAGGGAACTTGTGGGAAGAAGAAGGAGCCCCCAAAGGAGTAACCATAGTTTGTTGTTGCTGTTGTTGTGAAATTAATAGCTTGTCCAAGAACGACCAGTCTCCATTATTGAGTCTGTGATCACCTTGTTGCTGCATGAGATTACTAACGAGTCCCCCAGGAGGAGGAGAAGAAGTTGAAGCGAGCCTAAGTAAGTTGTGAGAACAGTGAAGGACGTCCATGGGGTTCATAGTCGACGTGGAGGAGGGCGAAGAGGTTGCGGAAGGAAGGGGTGGTACTGCAGATTCTGGGCTGAATAACTGTGGTAGGTGCATTGAGGCATTAAAGCAGCTATTGTAATTAAAACTATTATTATTATTACTATGGTGGTCATCATAATAAGGTTGATGAACAAGTCCTTGATGATGATGAAGGTGGTGGTGGTGTTTTAATGGTTCAAGTACCTTCATGCAATTATTATTAGAAGCAGTGCTTGTTGATGCCATGTGGCCCATTATCTGCTCATCTTCTTGATCCATTTCTGGATGAAATCCTCTGTTAAAGTTCTTCTTCTTAAAAACCCTGCACACCACCCACCCATCTTCCTGTTTCACGAATTATAAGGTTATTAATTACTCTCACTAAATGCTTAGCCTATTAAACTCAAGTTCAAATTTCTAATCCAAGTTTCTATTAACAACCAAAAGAAGATATATGATTGTACCTGAAGCTCAGCATCGTCTTGGTCAAGACGGTACTCATGCATAATCCACTCAGTCTTTTGGCCGTGAGGAGCACGGCCAGTGTAGAACACTAGCGTTTTCCTCATCCCTATCCTCCTGGAATTGCTCAGGTATATGGCCTTGTCCCTCCCCGTTGCCTTCCAAAATCCGGCCGTTGTCGCCCGGTTCGTTCGTGTTCCGGTCGGGTACTTCTTGTCCTTGTGGCTGAAGAAGTACCATTCGTTCTGAGGTCCTGATCCAATCCTACATTTTTCTGCGCACACAACACCAATCCCAAGCTTAATTTATTGCACCAACACATTTGGCTAGGGTTTATATATTCACAGTTACTCATATTGTAAACTCATATATATATATATATATATATATCTAATGCACAATGAAACCCTGGACCAATAAACTGAGAACTTCATTAAACATAAGCATTAAATTAATATATAAATGCATGCAAATCATTGAACATATATATGCGGGGAACAACAAATGCAACGCGATGATATGCTTTTTGGGTTTGTTCAAGCAAACTTGACCGTTACTATGATCAAGACATGTGAGAAGAAAAGCTAGCTGGCTTAACAGTGATTCAGGATTGATCATGATTTTTGGATATAGACAGGCGCGCACACACACACACATATGTATATGTGTGTATGTTTCTTGATGTGTATATATATAAACACACCTTTGAGATCCCAAGGCTCAAGTTTGTTGAGATCAACTTCTCGGATGACATCAAGGTCAATGGCTTCAAAAGAAACTTTCTTCCTCAGATAATAGTAAAGAAGCTCCTCATCTGTTGGGTGGAACCTGAACCCTGGAGGCACTGCTATTTGTCCACTTCCTTGCATCATTCTCTCTGCCCTTTTTATTTGATCTTTATGATTCTAGCTGTCACCTGAAAATGAAAGATAGGGTTAGTTTCATATAATGATACTTTCATGCACAGATTATACATATCTATGGCTCAAATCAAGGCGGATTAATGATGAAACAAAATATATATAGTGAGAGAGTCAGTCATATCCTCACCAGGACGTACTGCTCTTAGTAGACTATCATTTTTGGATTTACAGTACCTATGAAAACTGATATCTTGGTTTAAGGGTCTGTTATAAGAAAGTAAGAAACCTTTTAACAGAGGATCGATCTTTACATCAGAACACAACCCTTACAGAAAACCCGTTCCATATCTACCTCATTCGTGTATGTGTGTTCATGCACAACCAAAAAATAATCTCATCCTCTTTTATGATACGTCGGTGAATTGAATAGAAAGGGGTCAAAATAAACAAGTGATGCGAAGACTCATCATGATCTGACTTTAGCCCCTCCCCTTCCCTCCCCCACCCCATCCCCCTAAAAGAAAGCAAAAGGAACATAACTGCATGAAATTACATGACAGATTAAGACTCTCTTTGAGCCCAAATATAAGTGAAGACTCAGCTGGTTAAAAGATCTCAACTATAACTTGCTAGATTCAGACATCAAGGAAGCACAAAGTTTCGAATCATATATATATTTATACATAATCACCGACGAAAAGACTCGTAAGAAACGGTTCTAATCTACCAAATGAAAAGAAAGACAGGTAAAGAGAAGAAAGCTAGGGAAACATCAGAGTTAGTAAAAGATGTTTAAAGTTCCATGGAAAGAGTAGTAGAGAACAGAAGGTACAAACCTTTTGTGGACTGTGTGTTAAGCAAGAAATGAATCCGTGTGGAGGACAAAGGAAAGCAGACAAGGAAGAGGAAAAGAGCAGACAGCGATGCGAAGCTTACGTTACCGCTAACTCAGTTCCTTCGCTTCAAGGGCACGGACGTGGTTTTTAAGAGAGAGATGTATTTGGATCAGTGCAAGTAACCTAGCTTCACCATCAAGGACTGACAACCAAGAATGGGCACAGAAATAAATAAATATTGTATTATATTGCATTAACCAAAGGAACAAGAATATGACTCATCCGGGGTTACGTTCTTTATTATCTGTGTGTGTGTGTGTGTATTGGTTTATAGTATCAGTATATATATGAGGTATATATGCGTTATAAATTGAAGGTTTTACTTCTAAGAATACTTTTTATAAATGAAATGAAATAGATGAATTAATGATACAGATAGCTGTATATATAGAGTAGTAGCTAGCTTATTAGCCTATTGACCTTCTGTGACATATACTCCTTTGTATGTTTTGTTTCGTTGTGATTTAATTTGTTAGTACGTATGAATGCATTGGGATATAATTAATTAGATAGGCTTTGGTAAATGTTGGTTGAATGGGAGACCTTACTTCCCTAAGAATCGCCATATAACAATGAAGAAATTCTGCTTAACTGTCAATTAGTTGTATATATATCTGCTTACATATATTTACGTGCTCTAACTCTTTCTTTTTGGTTTTTTCCTCATTTTTTATCTTGATGTAAATTAAAATTTGCGGGTGGGTTTTTGTTTTTCCATTAAAATATAATAAAGCTATAAGCTGTCCTCAAATTACTCCCTCACTCACAGAACACCCGGTCAAGTCAAAGAATAATGATCCAAATGCAATTTCAGCTCTTCCCATTATTCTTAATCCACTTCATTCTTATTAATTATTGCAATTATTTAGACTATAATTATACCCTGAGTTTGAATCTGTACACAAGCGAGCGTGCGCTTAGGATTATATTTGTACTATAAAAAAATATGACTCGTCAGTTCTTTTTGACCCGTCGTTTAGCCTCAATTAAGAGTTATCTCTTTCTCTCTCTCTCTATATATATATAGATTAATTTTCTTGATCTTAATTATTTTCATATTTTAATATTTCACGCTTAGGGTTTGCTAATCTGCAGTCAAGAAATCCAGCTGCTAGCCTTGAATCATGTTCATAAAAGTGAAGAATTTGCATCAAATTCAGTGTAATGGTCAAACCTAGGGGTTCCAGCTCAAAGCTAGTCATTATTCACCAAATAACGTACATCTCCAATAATATCAATTTAGTTAATTAATTAATTAATGGCGAGTTTAAGTTTATTTTTTCCTTTTGGGTCATTGGGATGTAGCCAGCATGCATAGTCGTGATTCCGGATCCTAGGTAATTTTAAAAATCGGTGAAAATGGATTAAGCTAAAGAAGCCAAATAAATTGATCAATTTTATATTTATAAACGTACCCCACAAGTTTACATGGGGAATGTGTCCAGCTAGAACGTAATTTTGTCCAGATTAAGGTAGTTTCCAAGTTTGAACTAATTGATATATTCGATCGCTTGTTTATATATATGTTGGTATAATTATCATGTGTCCCAGAAAAAATGAACGCAAATTTTGTTTGTTTCTATGAATTTTTTAGACCATTCTTGTTTGCTGGTACGTGATCCATGGATAATATCAACATATCCTTGACCATCCTTTTTTGTGGATTTGTCTTGAGATTACTGAGACAATTAGATTTTTAAGAAATAGATATATATTAGGTTTGTACTTTTATCAAGATATAGCTTAAGTAAATTTGATAGGACTTCTCTTAAGATCATATATGTACTATCAATTACGTTCATTGTTTCTTATTTATCGTGTATATAAATAATGCAGAAATGTGGTGACAAATTTCAGCAAATTAGATTAACGTAATTTGTCTGATTCTTTCTTACATTAATTAATATTATCAGAAAATTTTAACACACAATAGGGTTATTGCCAGCAACGTACGTGAATTACTGAATCTTGTATTTACCGTGACCTCGTCTTGTTAGATGTACAGTTAAATATGTATAATCTTGGGTGTGTGCGCGTATACACCCACACACATATAGGAGGCATTTAAATTTAAGCTTATGTAAGCATGACTAGAAAGAAGTCGTAAGATCCGATGCTTATCTGGAATCATTAGTGATATTGATCATCAGTAATCATTGTCATTTTTGAAGATTTGCAAAGACGTACAGATTTTTCAATTTTGAGTCCCATGCACCACCGAATGAAGATGACTTCATTGAGATCTTTTTATATATAATACTACCTCCGGTCCTAATTATAAGAGCTAGTTGATTAATTTGAGTTAAGTTAGTTATTTGTAATAAATATGTGTTGTCTTTCCTAAAATATCTTTACTAATCAAGTGTGTTGGTTAAAACTACAATTATTAGAAGAATTGTCTTGAAAAAAATTGAGTAAATATGATAAACAAAATGGATTGAAATCTTATATTTAGGACTAATATAAAAGTTAAACGGGGTCTTATATTAAGGATCGGAGGTAGTATTCAATAATTATGTGAAAGTGGATGTAAACCACAAAAGAATTAAGAAGTAATTATGAATGCGTTGGCCAAAACTAACTTGTTAATCAATTAACGAAAAAGTATTAATTAATTTTTGCTGGTAATACTACACACACATATATATATTGAGCATCTATTAAATTTATATAATTTATATCCAACTTATATCCCATATATTGATTTTGTTTAAGGGACATACCATCTTTTGCTCCTGATAACACTCTTTTTAACTACAAACAAAAACATAGATCAAATATACAACTCCAAGACTCGGGTCAAGTGGATAAGTACTATAATAATATATATTCCTCATCTGGTTTTTAATATAAGACCTATTTAACTAATTTAATTATATTTATAAAGTTAGGTAAGTTAGTTAATTATAAAAAATATGACATATTTTTTCTAAAATGCTATAATCATCTTCTCTAACATCTTTCTCTCTTTCCTATTTGATGATAGTCGATGAAATATCTACAGGGATAATTTAGAAAAAAAATTAATAAATATAAAAAATAGGTCTAACATTTAGAATCATATAATATTTAAAATCATATTCAAATCAACAATTAAATCCCATGTTAAAAACCAGAAGAGTACTTTATTTGCAATATATATGTGTGTGCATGTATGTAGGCAGAAATAATGAGAGCGGGAAAAGGCCTGAAAGTGCGTGGGAGAAGCACGTGGAGAAGGAATAAAATAGGCAAAAATGAAGGTCTCGGTTACATAAAAATCCCAATTAACAAAACATTACATTAATTAATCGAAAAAACCTAAGAGAAATGGATGGATTTGTGTACATGAATATGACCCCCTCACACACTCACTCTCATAGACCAAATGGATTCTCACGCTACCTCATTACTCTAATAATGCTCTTCAGAATGACTGTGTGTGTTAATTACAAGTAGCTGGTCAACCACGTTGATATGTAACCAATGATGCAAAATAATCCTAATCATGACCCTGCCCATAATCATCATCACTCTTAATCACCCATTCATCTGCGTAGCTAGCCTGCTAATTAAACCAATATTAATTAACTGTGACCCTTCTTTAATTAAGTTAATTATATATATATATATAGAGAGAGAGAGAGAGAGAGAGAGGCACAGATAGATAGGGGTGCATGTTGCTCGTGGTGGTGCCGTTATCTTTACGAACACTGCATCACACATTAATGTCTGAAGCTTCATTATTGATCTGAGAATCCGATGCCTCTGGATTTTGAGTTTGAGGTTCAGCCCTCCATGTTCTGTTCCATGCTGGTTCAACATTATCATTAAAAAAAGAAAGAAAGAAAATGAAGAAAAACTAAGGAGATTTGTCATGAATAAGGTTTGACTGATGAGTTGATTTGAGAAAAGTCAGGTTATACTTAATTTTGATCTTAGCTGGTTAAATTGATTGAATTAACAGACATTTTAGGATCTTTCTAATGCTTAAAGGCTCATGTTCTTATGACTTATCATGGGAAATTTTTTTAATGTTAAAAATATACACGATCGAGTTAAGGTTTAGAGGTTAACTAATACTACCTCCAGTTCTTAATATAAGACCTTATTTGATTTTTATTTAGTCCTAAATATAAGACCCCAATTCATTTTGTTTCTAATATTTATGCAATTTTTTTTCTAAGATAGTCCTTTTAATAATAATAGTTTTATTTAACACATTTGATTAGCAAGGATATTCTAGAAAATACAATACATATTTATTACAAATAACTAACTTAATTTATTTCCTTAATCTTCTCAAATTAGTCAACTAGCTCTTATAATTAAGATCGGAGGTACTACTTATGTGAACGCTTATAAATTTGCGACATGACTTGGATCTATGCTTTTGTAGGATACAAGACATATGCTCATCTATTGGATCAATTTGGTTGGCCTTTTTAAGACAAATTTATTGGTAGATCCTAAATCAAAGATTAGCTTTCCTTTTTGGTCATAATTAGATAAAACCCATTTGCACATAGCTTGGTTTGAAGAAACCCACTTGGATGATACAACTTGATTTTTGTACTTCATCAGTGGCTAGCTATGGCTGCAAAAAAATGCCAAAACAAGTAATATATAATACACAATAATACAGCTGCCATTACCAACTTGATGAATATGATCCCTCACGCAACTTTGAACATGCCGAACTTGAACCTGTTTTTCCGCAATCATTATACTAAACAACTCGTTAAAATATCAGAAAAAAAAAGTACAGAGCGCCGCTTCTTGACATCGCTTTTGGAGACGCATTCAAACTGAACCTTTTAACGTTCGATTTTCTTAAAAGAATATTCCCCGGATTTTCTCGCAAACCAGAAATCAATCTGCACAGAAATCCAAAGGAGACGGTGTAGAGGGGAATTTTTCTGGTGTCAATCTTTATGCATAATCTTTTCCATATCTTAAATTTGAAACTTCTATCTCATAGCTTATAATAAGATAATAACAGAAACTGCTTCAACATCCCTCCTGGATTGCAGGGTATATAAACTCGAGGGGGGAAAAAAGGTAAATTGAAAACCAAAAATGAATAGTGAAAGGATGATGTTAACTGAATAAGTTGATTTGATTAAATAGTGAAATAACAATGTTAACTGAACAAGTTGATTTGATTTCATATGAATAGTTTGTGTCATGCTTAAGAGTAGAGAAGTTGTTTAAAGAATCTTACAAGAATTAATAGACATCTTATTGTTTAAACTGGTGCTTTGAAATGCATGAAGCATGTTAATCTAGTCTTCTGCTTCATTTTATCTTCGTTACAAGCAAACACAACTAAAAGAATGCCTAAATTTTCAAAATAATGACTCAATTAAAGTATCAGAATCTTACAAATTGAAGATACAAAATGGGCTCATATGGTGATTACACTTGGTCTTTTGGGCCTGCTAAATCAGGAATTCAGGATCCTTTACAGAAAATCAGGAGATAAACTGCACTAATTCATAAACCAGACCCGTGGCCTTTTAAGCTCAAACTTAAGAAACAGGCTCACAGGGTCTCCAATGCTTAACATTTGTGCTCAGAGGAGATGGGAGAGTGGCAGACCATGATTGTAAATCAGGTAAAGGTCCTGTAAGTGCCATAAAATTTGCGCCATTTTCCTTCGGCATTCTCTTCCAATTCAACTGATGAAATCAAACACGAACTGTCAGCATCCCTAAAGAAAACTTAAGGAATTACAACAAACATAGTAAGTCAACTTTGATTGTTTAAAGGCTCATGATGTGCTTAAATTCATGAATAACTAACACACCACATCACACAAGTTTTTTGGGCTTGAGGTGTGGGCAAAAGACAAGTTTATATATGTTGAAGCAGAGAATCAGCCCAAACACAACAAGCCCAATACAGAGCCTTATAGGCCCATCGTCTAGCCTTGTATGAGTCTGTTATTCCAGATCCTTCTAGCTAGGGCTACTTATCCATTAACTGCAAAATATCTGTGCCTTGTGGATCGTGTTGGTGTAACATAGACTATTCATTAGAAAAGGAAAGAATCCTTGACATCACATCATCCTCACATACCATGACTCAGTCGTGATAACTGCTTTGAAGCTTGAAACTAAACTTCATTAGGTTTAAAATCCATTGAGAATTTAGTCTCAACAAGTTAATATTCTATAGGCAATAAGAATTGCTATGAAATCCCTAGTAAAGAACATAATTACTAAAAAGTCCCAGTAAGAATAAAACAGCCTGCAACGACAAGTTAAAGAGTAATAAATAACTACTCACTTGTTATTGGGACTTGTTAATATTTTTTTTTTGCCCCCCTTGAGACTTCACTATAATTCTCCCTTAATACCTGGTCCAAATCATTTATGCTGATGAATACGCACCAAACCTTGAAACCTAAACTTTCTCACAACAAAATGGCTAACTGGTGCAGGATGAGACAGGATTTTTTTTCTTTCAATTTTATGATATAGTTATGATTTCAGATTTATGATTTGGTAATTAATTATTGGTTAATTGGAGTAATTTTTGAGTTACCAATAAAGGCATTGGTATTTCAGTAGGATTGTTCTTGCTATTTTAGTTTCTCATAAACAAACAGCTACTTTTTATTTTTAAAAAGGTACCCAATTCATTGTAGATTATTTTAATAAAATTGTCCTTTCTCTTTTAATTTCCTTCCGGTAATGCGTCCAGTGATATATTCTGAAGAAAATTTTGCTGTAAACCAAACCTTATCATATAGGTAGTATCAAACTAGTGCATAAATATGCATAAAACAATAAGGAATCGAGTCCAACAACAGAGACCATACTTGCCCGGGAAATGCTCTGGATAATGCTTTTAATGCTGGATTTTGTAACCATATCCTATCACTTGATGAAGTTTCAGAATCAACACCATCCGATGCATCTGATCCCCCATCAAGGCCACCACAGTTCACCATAAATCGACCTCCAGGCATCAATCTATCATGCAATTCCAACCATGTGCTATCCTATGAAAACAAATAATAAGAAATGTGAAACCCCATGCTAGTATGCTAAGAAACTATGTTATTCTGTTTTTCAATGACTTTGCTTGAGAAAAATAAGAAAGAGCCTAATCAAACAAGAAAATAAAGCCACAATTTGCCTAGTTTTAAGAAAATCTCTATCCTAATATGTTCTCCGAGCATTTAAGGCTTAACATCTGAATTGAGATTCCATCATCAGCACATGAAGAAACTTTTCTTGTCATATATATGTTGAAAGAGAAAAAAGATTGAATTAAAACTAGAGATAGCAAGAATTCCCATCCTGCAATTTTTTTTTTTTCGCTTTGTTTTTTTATCAGCCTAAGCATATGATTCTGCGGGTTGGCCAAGAAGAACTTTACTGTCAACTAAGACGCGGAAATCAGTATGCGGGAAATAACCACATACCTCTTGCAGCTGAGGCAAGACTTTTCCATCGGAGAATAAGTCAACAACAATGCCTGAGAAATATCCAAACATTGGTAGATGGTCAAAATAACAGATTTACTTCCACTAAAATTGAACAAAGACATTTACATCATTGGTCCAAAAGTGCTTGACTAAATATATATTGCAAATATGAATAGACTGGGAACTAGAAAATGAACAGCAGACTACATAATTATGCTGAGGTAGTAGCAAAAGTTTAATTTGAATAGACAGAAGTACAAAAAAAAAAAAACCCACGAGGAGCTAGACAAACTAGGAAAAATGATACAAATGACTCACCGGCATATTTTCTGTGCAAATTCTCTGATGGAACGAAGACATCACCAATATGAATATTCAACACACCACCATCTTTTGTTGGTTTCTCCAGATCAGATAGACCAAAATAAATTCTCGCTTTATCAATCAACTAGATCATTTGGTTTTCCAAGGATAATACAGGTAACGTCAGGATATATGCACCAGGGATTGATGAAATTTACTTGCATGCAATCTTATTGATTTAAATAGAAATGAAAACTAGCGCATCATCTACAGAGACCAAGAAGGTCCAGAAAGGATATTGCCATCATCAATTTCTGCCAGAGGAAAACTTATAAACCAGAGTTCCTTTTAATTAGTCTCTGTACAAGTAAAAGACGCAGAGTTGAACAGGTCGTTGAGATTAACCTAGAGGTGCTATATATTTAAGTAAACATCCCATGTGGCTTGGGGAAAAAGCATTCTATAATGTATTTCAAATAGAATATGCCTACCTTCATATTCATATACTACAGTTAGCTTTAGTTCCCAAAGGTATAAAAGATTATACTTAGATTTAGCTGCTTCGTGATGATATGCTATATTGCCAGACTACTCGCAATGGATAGCTCTATCTTTTTATCCAAGCATTTTTATCTGAAACAAGGCCATTATAGAGAAAGAAAATCTTGTCATCTGGTGAGGCAAAAAAAACTACTTTTATGTTGATTAGCCTCTATGGCAATTATACTCAATACCCTAAACCATTCAACTACATGATGGAGTGAATCTCCTCATTCCTTTAAAGAGGAGCGCTGACCCCGTAAATGAACAAAGGGGCAAGTCATGAAAATTGCATTAAAATATTTCTTCTTTTTAAAAAAAGTACGATGCAGAAAAGTAAAATCCCTACAATTGGATCAATCTCCCACCCTTCAAGCTGCAGCGAAGGCCACAAGTCAAGCATCAGATGAGCAGCAGTTCCACCACCCTGAAAGATTTAGAAGCAATCTGGTATTACTTAAGAAGACACGTATGATTTTGTAAATATCACTGACTAAATGCTGTAAAATCTCTGTAATCATAAAAACAAAAGAATTACCAAACCTAAGAGAGCGATGGGACCTTTTGGAACTACAGCTGGCAAGCTAGTAAACTCATCCTGTTTGATGAAAACATAAAGATCATTACAAAACTCGCTTGCATTAAATAAGTTATAGATCTCAGAAATGATAAGACTTACTAACATAGCCAACAATGAGGAAAAACTGTGATTTAATCAAGTAACATCATAAGCATAATTAAGTACTAATAAATATTAAAACAAAAGGAAAACTAACATACCCAGTAGGCTTCTGTCCATTTTTTATCCTTATAAAGTATGCTATGAATGTTGTCTGCGATAAAAGAAGAAACACTGGGTTAGATTATCCATCATTAACATATCAAGTCAATTCAAATTAATATAAAAGAGAGAGGCGCCATTTAATTTTCAACAAATTTAGGCACCCCATTTTGATTGCTCTCACATGGAGAGCGTCCATACAGTTTGAAGTGCACAAGACTAAGAAAAAGAAACACACACACAGAGGGAGGGGGAAAATACTGGAGGAATCAAGGAGAAGCACTCTAGATTTGGGACTGTCGACAATCATTATGTCATTGTAATCGCTTTTTACAAGAGTCAGCAATTGAAAGTTTTCTTCTTCATCTTGTACGCTGTCTTGGGCAGGAACCGAAGTGGAAGAGAACTCAGAGTTGGCCTTAACCTGGTGACCACAGAACAAAGTCGAGGGATTTCCAGAGAGAAGGCTAATAGAGTGACGAAGTTGAATTGCAGAAGTGGGAAAAGTGAAGGAGAAGCTACTGTGGGTAATACGGGGAAGCGCCAATTTGTGTAACGGCAAAGCGTAACCCGCCATTGTTGAATTCAGAAAGAATGAAGATAGAAAGCTCGTTACTGTCCATTTCACCATCTATTATCCATATCCGTAGTGTTGGATTTATTTATTTATTTTGAACAATATTACTCGCACATTAAGAAATAGACTTTATTTTACAACAGCAAGATGAGTTTGCTGGAACTCTGGATTATGCTGGTTAAGCATATTCGATTACTAGATACTCTCTAGAAATAGTTATATTTTTATGTTAATTGATTTTCATCTTTTTTTTTTTTTAATTGAATGAGCATTATATTATAATTTTGAGATAAGATTAGGAATATTATTAAGCCACAGCCCACAGTACACTAGTACAAAGTTTCAAGGTAAGTGTTGCAATAAATTATATATTTTGACATTTTTTTTTTCAACGATGTATTTTGATATTTAAATATTATATATATATAAGCAAGTCATAAATTCGTTGGGAAAAGAAAAAATACGTAATTAATAAATATGCAAGTAATAAAATGAAAACCAAAATTTTCTCCATTTCATTCGTATTACTATTTGCAGATTATGCAACAGTAATGAAATATCTCACTGAGGTCTTGTATCATCATGGGAAGCTTTACATCAACAAAAGAATACAACTCGCCCAAAAATGGTTGAAGCGTGCAAAAATAAATAATTACAATTCCTCGCCACTCAATTTACTCTCTCCACACCAAACCCCAAAAAAATTAAATAAAAAAAAAAACCTTTGATTTGCAGGTGCATGCACGCTCACTGGCTGCTCTACCCAGCAAGTCCGCCATGTACAGAACAAGCCATGCCTTTGAGTGTACGTGAACCAGGTTCACACAAAAATTTTCTTCTATGAAAAGGGGGAAGGAAAAAACTATAGCTTTACATCAAAACCAAAACTTCAGCATCTCAATGAGACTCGCCATCCATTTGCTGCAATAAAAATTGGAAGTCGGATCTTTGTCTCAGGATTGTGGGTGGATCCACATCGATATCTGATAAGCGGATGTCGCTCATGGAACGGAACATGTCCTCCATTGAGAAAGGTATACTGAAATTTTGCACAGCAGAGCATTGCTATTGATTAATATAGGAAAAAGAAAGGATTTTCGGGGTTGAAGTTTTTTGAGGATTCTTAACCCTAAATCATGTTCAAAAATCTGGCCTGTAAGTTTTTATAGCTTATGGTTCATTTATGTCTTGCATCAGAATATCAATTGACGTGGAGCTCAAGTCTCGTGCATGATGAAGCTTTCTTATAAGATTAGGTAGTACAAGATTCGAACAGGTATTATAAATTCCTGTGACGACTGAAGTTTAGAAAAGGGAATTGGAAAAGAGTTGAAGAGTTTGTTAATAATTAATTACCTGGAATCCACCTCCAGAAGGAAGGAGTTGTTTGGTATGTTTATGGAGTCTTCTGCCACAAGCACTCTCATTCTGCTAATTACCTGGAAAAAAGGTTTCCAGAAAACACACACAAAGTTATGATTCTGGATAAAATGTATCACAGGCTGTATGTAGTGATGTGCATATGTTAATTGTATCGGTTCTTGAAGAATTCAGAATCTAAGAATTCTAGATTTAGTTGTTTGGGCGTCAGGATTACTTGTCCTACAAACAATTGTTCATTGTTTAATTTAAAAATAACTGTTATGATTCCGTTTGAACGTTTAGAAGTTTTGTGATTCTTGGAGACTTGGAGTCAATCTGAGAACGAAATATATTTGTAAAAACATGCGGTAGAGCTATGCAAGGACAAAAAGTCACGGGCTTACTTCTTGAGATAACCCTTGTGCTCCATATTTGTCATCCCAGAACATAGTTCCAATACGATATATTTGCGGAATGCTTAACACCTGATACAAGAACCATGAAAACAAGAAATGATACGAAAAATCATTACAGCAATAAGTTTTATAACCCTTTCAGATGAAACGACTTGGAGCTACAAGCTAAAAAGAAGTTACTTCTTACTCAAGAAGTTTCGTGGAAGAAATTATTAACTTGATGATAAATTATTAAGAGCAAAACTACGGTGTTTTTGATAGAGGAGTTGGATGAATTACCGGACATAGTTCACTTGTTATCTCATCCAAAGATTTTTGCGTCTTTTGATGCGAGACCTGCATAAAGAAGCATTTTGAACATCAAACCTTGAGGGATGGGGGAAAGGGAAAAAAGATTATTCGAGTGCATAGTCTTGGACCAAGAAACTGTACCAGAAAGCCTACAGCTTGACGTATGTGTTTGAGCTCGTCCCAAGAAGATCCAGCAAACTGCAAAATTTTGGGGGGGGGGTGGGGGGGAAGGGGTTCAAAATGAATGTTTTGATGTTCTTCTCTTTCCAGTCTAGGTGCTTGTTATTACTAAAATGTGACATTACCTGATCAGTTGCCTTGATGCACCATTGTTCCAACTCATGCAAACCTGCCTTTAAATACTCTCCATTGCTAAAGGAGCAGCATTCACGGCGAAGCAACAAACTGCCAGTTCATGGTTTTTGTTAGTTCATTTTATTAGCCATCAATTAGAATTTGAATGCTCTATCTCTAAGATTCCCAGTGTTTTTTTTTTTTTGGACCTGAAATTTTTAATGCAGTTCAATTGAATGTCTTCTTACCTATTGAAAAGCTGGACATTCATGAAAGAGAACACCTGACTAAAGATCTTCCTTGTAATCACGGAAGGAACCTGAAATCACAAGATGTGTAGGATATTGTAAAATCTGATCTTTAATAAAGAAAACCCAGCAAAAGCACATGGGTATTTCATACTTACATAGTTGTCAGACAATATGCCCAAGGTATGGTCTAACTTGTTGACAATGCTTTTCCAGTGCATATTTGATGCCTGTTGTTTTGCAACTATATTTGAGTGGATGTTCCTTGATGATCCTCGTACTGTTTTAGTCCTCATGGACCTTGGTGCCTATCAAAGGTGATGCAAGGACAAGTTAATCGAGCAAGATATATAGGGCCTAACTGAAATGGCTTATAAGCTGCTTCTCAATCATGATTTGCTGAGTACAAGGTAAGTGATTTCTAACATGATTCCAAACAAGGCCATCATGTTATGGTGTAATATTAGGTGATTTCTATAATATGATGTCAACCTGGATGCACAAATTTAGGAACGGACTGATCTCTTTCTTTAAACTGTCACGGATCATTCCATATATCTTCTCAACATAAGCAGTTAAATGTTGCTTGAACAGAATAGCTGGATACTTCGCTTCCACTTTGGATTGCTCATTTGGCTTGCCCACCATTCCACTGTAGCCACTTGAAACCCCCATCCCCATAGAGGACGAAAGCAAGCCCTAAATTGCACAACAAGAAATATTATGTTATATCGTTGATCTAATGCACTGAAAATTTGCAGTTTTGGGAGCTTACTTGTGCCATTCTGCCAAATAAAGTAGCAGGGGAGTTTCGGTTACGAGATGTTGCCTTAGTTGAGTTGCTGGCCTTGAGTGTGCTTTGTAGGAAAAACAATAATGTTGAAGTTGTAGAGAGCCAATATGCTAGGTCATTGATTCCTTCTTGACTCTGTTAGAAAACAAGATGGAATTACAATTAAGTTGGAATTCGTAATTTTTTATTTTTTCAATTTGTTGATGTTTCTTAGTGTATGTGAGTTTTTGGGTATACTACCTCAATAGATGATCGGATTATGTGGATAATTTTGTCAAATATATGTGTCTTCTCTGCTTCAAAGGATCTCCACTGAAGAAGCGCTTTATAGATAACACAAGCAGCAACTGGCCTGTTTTTCTCAAATCTCTTATCCTCTGCAAGACACTTGAGCAGTGCATCATGACTTTCCTGTTTACAAAGAGATGAAAATTGTAATGTTCCATTCAGCTATGCGGAGCTGCTTGCTTTATCTTTTTGAAAACAAACCTGCTGCCTGTCTGTGAGTGATCTTTGTCTTATGAGGAAGGAAACTGGTTGTCTTGGTTCCTGAAAACAATTTTATAAGTTAAAATTAGCACACCATTATCAAGTGTTGATCCAGAAATTCTTAAGAGTTGGTGAAGTGAGTTTGGAATACTTTTCTTGTTTGGTGTTCTTCAGCTGTGAGGTTTCCGTTATCCAAATTCTGCAGCACCATAATAGACAGTGTCACATAATGAAATACTTCTATCAGAAAAGTTAAAGGAGGTGTACCTTGATGACTTGTGGAGTTATCGTATATGAAATAGCATTCTGTTGAATTTTCTCTGTAATAACAGTTTCCTGTTCTTCTTTTTCTATTTTTTCTGGATAAACCTTTTGCACCACAGCAGCTACTGGCTGGCGCCGAAGAATTTCATTCTCTGATTCTAGATTTGCAATCTTCTCCTTGAGGCTAGAAATAGAGCAAAGAGATCAGAATTTCACAGGGTCATAAATAATTGCTCCAGCTTTATGTACGCTGTGTCAATGTTCCTTTCCAAATCTAGTGTGATATGTGGTAATGAACATAATTTCCTAATGGAATAGCAAAGTTCTTTTACACACATCGTATGTGAATGGAAATCTTTAAATCTCCGTTTAATAATTTCGAATATCTATGGAGTGTACCACTTGCAAAGTAACTAATCCATAAAGCATGAAACCGAGGAAGTGACCCCGTAGATGTCGACAACTTTTTGGACATTCAATTTGTGACCATATTCTGATGACTGTCTTTGGATTCTAAACTTTTCTCTAGCAGAAAAATAATAATGGATGGTGCGGAAAATGAAAAACGAAAGCCACATCTTACGTTTTAAGCTCCTCGGTGAGTTCCTCGTTTTTTGATTCAACCAAAGCCTGCTGGCGTAGAACTTGATTCTCAGATTCAAGGTTCGACAGATTCGACTCTAATCTATGATCATAAGGAAAACACAATCAAAGCCAGTTTATAACGGTAGCAATGGTGTTTTTTTTTTTTTTTGGTGGCTAGTTATTATTATTTGAATACCTTTCAATAGTCTCCTGAAGTTGTGTCGCTTTCAAATGTGCTTCTTCAGCCTCTTTCAGCCTTTCTTGAGATTCTTTTTCCACGTCTGAACACCTTACCTCAAACTCTTCAATCTTCTTCTTCAGCTCTTCTACTTCACCCTGCATTTTCAGAATTAAAACTAATTACTTGTCCTCGTACAAGTTTGTATCACATTAATTAATGATTTTGCCATTCCACCTTAATTCTGAATGTGAATAATCCACAATATATAGGAAACAATGATTTATATTTACCTCGAGCTCCACATTTTTACTTGTCAGTAGCTCAAGCTTGGTATTGTCCACCACAGGTACCTCTTTGATGACTGGGGGGGCCGATTCAATTGCTAGTTTAGCTGCTTCCTTCTCGTGTATGATTGCAGCATGGGCTTCATCAAGCTGACTCTGCATATCTTGTAAAGCATTCTGTAACTTGGCAATTTCTTGTCCTTTAGCTTCCTCAAGATCAATCTGCAAGAAATTTATTATCAGCATTATTTCATTTGATCAATGTCCTAGATAGTGTGAATTAAATCTCTCACTTCTATTGAGTAAAGAACAAGCTATGTTATTTCATTGTTATTCACAAGTAGCTTTTGATCCTTCAATGTTTATCATGTAAAAACAGTTGTTTAAACACATACCCTCAAGTGCTTTTCAATATCTAGTCGCCAGGTAAGCTCTTCAACACGCTTCTCCAACTTGTCCTTCGCCTCCTTTAGTGCCCCTGTTTCCCTTGCAGCCTGCACAATAGCTCTTGACCGTTACCAACGTAACATGCTTTGAATTCTGAAATATATTTTTCATATATAATAATCCCAAAATAATTGGTCGACAATCTCCTAAAAATATGTGTTTGTGTGTAGGAAGTAACTCTTACCATCCTTAGCTTCCTGAGCTCCTTCCTAGCTACTCTGGCTCTCCAAAGACATTGAAGAGCAATAGTTGCCTTCTTCAGCTTTTTGTAAGCAGAAAAAGCGTCGACTCTTCTCCATTGTGTCTATGAAAGGAAATGAGAAACTTCTTAATTTTGTGCTTATATTCGAAGTCCAACGATTTCATTAAGCATGTGATGACTAATATTGCTTTTAAATATTCAAGCGACGCCTTATCCCCAGAAGAAAAGAAAATCCTGTCAAAAAGATGTCTTTACCTGAACTTCGATTGCAGCCTTTGTTCTTCGTCTGTACCTGTACTCATTTCGTGCTGCCATTGCTCTTAACCCTGACTGGATAACGACTGCTGAAGCCTGCAATGAAGTATAATGCTTTCTTGCAGTGTGTGCACGTGCATGTTTCTGTATGCGGATAGAAGCTGCTTCCCTCCGCATATGCTCATAAAGTTTACGTGCAAGTTTTGCTGAAATAATGAAGACAACAACAGAAAAAAAAGTAGTTGAAATCAAAGTCATATCCTGGCCAGAGCTTAAGTAGATGAATTTACAACTGATTTTTATAAGATAAGTAACCTCTCCATAATTTTTGGATACGAATTGTGGCCTTTCTCAGGGTGAGGAACTCTTTTCTCGTCAAATGTGTTCTGATTTGTCTCTGTATGCATCTAGCAGCTCTGGCTAAGACTTCAGCTCTTCGTGCATCTAATTCAGCCATCTGACCAGCTCTCAGAAATACCTTCGCCTTCCCCATCTATATGAAGCAGTTGTGGAGAAATTTATTAGAACTCAAAGCACTCCACGTACAGGGAAAATTAACGGATATGATGCCTTTGAACTTACTTGATAGCCTTTTAATCCCATCTTATCACATATCGCAACACATGCTGTTTTCTCGTCAGATCTGCACAGAAGAAAGCAAAACTTGTTTTATGGTGTCATATTTTCAGGTGATTCTTCAACTAATTCAACACAGCAATGTTTGTATTCCACACTTGACTCGTGGTTCAGGTAGCAGTATCTTTTTCTCTCCTAAAAGAAAAGAATGTTGTGTACCCATCTAGGACATCAGGGGCTAGCATTCCAAAACGTTCAAGGAACTCATCAAATGTTCGTTTTGTTGGATATCCAGCACAACTAATCCGAATTGCCTCAAGTACTCCCTGCAAGGTTGCCAGTAAGGTAAATGTCTACAGAATTTTCTGAACCATTACAATTAGTGTTATATTAAAGAATGAGAGGAGGAAAACCAACACACCCCGCATCTCAACTGGTTTAAGACGTTGAAGTTCTCAAATATTCCAGGCTGCAAAACTGTATTTGGTTTCACACATCTGATGTAGTGTGGTTCCGTTGTGTTCAATGTGTCCATTAGAGATTGTAGTTGTTGCTGGATGACAAGAACAGGTTCCGAACCAAGTCAGGGGCTGAGAATAATATCCTGAAACAGATGCAATGCCTTCAAGAATATTTTACCTTGAACCGCGTACCAATGGAAGAGAATTTTGATTGCTTTGATGTCTCCTCAGGTAATGGAGGGAAAAGATTTGCAACGAATGAGCACTTGGAGGCGTTTAAAAGGCCTTGATGCTCTGCTACAACATAATCTTTATTTTTATCAAGAAACTGATCTGCTTGGTATGTGACCTGTATTTCAGAAGGTTGGGCAACAATAAATTAACAGTTTTTCGTTTGTGATTGGATGGCCAAGTAACGATGTTAGTGTTTATCTTACATCTCCAGCATAATGGTTAATTGTGAAATCTGTTCGAGCAAGTTTGGGCTTGCTAAAGCGCTTGTGTGCTTTATACGTCTGATACAATTTTTGGGCAAATGTCTCATGGGTTGACTTGGGGAACATGCTGCATGAAATGTGAAAATGCCTCTTCTAAGAAATTCTTTTATAAGCATGTTTTGAATAAATTTTTCATTAAAAGAAAAAAAAATGCATAGTAAAGGAAAGAAAATGGCATACCAAGCTTCATCAAGCAGAGCAATGATTCCTCCAGGTTTCTGCAATGCAGAGCATGTAAATATGTTATCTGGTAGAGAAGGTCTTGGATAATCGATGTGATTCACCGATTTACCTTTTCGATAAGATCCAGAACATCTTGATTATCTACAAATTCTACATAGCTCCAGTTGATTTCCTCCTTTGTGTATTCTTCTTGCTCCATCTTAAATACGTGCTGTTCAGAAAGATACATTTAACTTTTAAATAACGTTATTTTCCCTTTTGCTGTCTAATAATATGATTAAACTGTATATAGAAGTTTACAGCATTACCTGGTTAAAATGTTGTTGCAACTTCTCATTTGTCAGGTTGATACATAGTTGCTCAAAACTAGTAAAGAAGCAGAAAATAAGATTCTAATATCAGTATGTAAAATCTATTAATCTGAATTGCACACATTCTCTATTTACCTGTTGATTTTGAAGCTTTCAAATCCATAAATGTCAAGGACTCCTATTAAGCTTGTTGCATTGGGATCTTGTCCAATTGAACTGTTTATCTTGTCCACAATCCTACCATAGATCAAGAATGATTTTAAATTATCTCAATCCTTGTCTCAAGATGCGGCTTTTGTGTTTTGTTTTGCTACTTACCAATCAAACAGCCTAGAGTACACAGTCTTTGCCAAAGCATCTCGACTTAAAGCAGCCGAGTCAGGATCTAGTGGTTTTGTGATGTTACCATCTGGAGTAACAATGACACGCTTGCAAAGTGAGTCTTCTAATGCTTTCTCATCACACCTGAACACATATATATGTTTAAAGGCATAAGAAAGAATCATATAACAAATATAAACCATGTGCTGTGAGCTTGACAGATTGCATGAGTCTTTTACATGAGCAACTCTGCAGTAGTGCGAAGGTGGAATATTGATTTCTCATCCTTTAATTTGGAAGAATCAACTTCCTTCCCTTTGATGAAGTCAATGTTTCCCAGATGAAGGATTGCTGCTACCACGCGGAAAATAGCATCCTATAGAAGGGCAACATTCATTGATCAAATATAGGAATGGATTGAATTAATTCACTGTTCCATTGAAATGTGATTAAGAACCGATGCTTTGGCCCAAAACCTGTTCATCCTGGCTGATGCCTACAATATCCATTGCATTTCTGGTCTCCAGATATTCTTTTGCATCATCCACATTTGCTACTTCATAGCAGTTTGATTGATTAAGGTAGCGAAATGTCCTAGGATCCCCCAACTTGTACTTTTTGACATCCTATGGTCAAAGTATTAATAGTTAGATATTGTGAGGTTTTATTACCGACTTCTTTTTTCTAAGAAGATATAAATACAGAGGAAGTTTTAATTTTCTTTTTCTTTTTTCTTTTTGCCAACCAAATGTTTTGAGAAGTCACCTCTGATGGGGCTGCACAAAGCATGTAAAAGCAGTGGTAGTTCCTCTCTGGGTCAGAAACTTGGCAAACTCGTGACCTTTCGAGGAGGTATGTGCGGATAGCAGCTCCAGAAATCTTTCCATTCTTGTCAAATTGTATTTCAACAAATTTACCAAAACGACTGGCACGATTTCCAATAAGTTTGTAAGAACAACTGAAAAGAAGTTTATGACAGGAAATGAAATAACAGCGAAACGTGTCTATATAGTTTACCTTGAATTGTTATTTTTGACAGTTTTGGCATTCCCAAATGCTTCCAAAACTGGGTTCGACTGAAAAATAGAGAAGGTCACTCCATCTATGATTTTATTGAGTTAAAAATGAGAAATACAATTCAAGTGCTTCGAATTCAAACTCACCTCTAAAACCTGTTGTTCTACTGTTCTTCCTTCGGTATTAGATCTTCCCCCCATGAAGGCTAGATATCTCATTAGCATTTTCGTTGTCTCTGTTTTACCAGCACCACTCTCTCCACTCACCAAAATGGACTGGCTTCCATTATCATTAATCATCGCCCTGATATATCAAGCTAAGCTAACATCACAAACCTCATCTTGTTTTTCTAGTGGCTTACCAGCAAGAAACAAGTTGATGTCCCTTTTATTGAGACACTTTGATTCTACCAATACCTTATTGACTTTAAACAAAACTGTCTTTTGATTGCTTTTTACCTGTAACAAGTGTCTGCAACAGCAAAAAGATGAGGGCTTAGCTCTCCAAATGCTGCTCCTTTATACTGCTCCATCATATGTATGTCATACAAGTGCGGCAGTCTCCGGAAAGGATTTACTGCTATTAAGATATTCCCTGTATATGTCTGATTATACCCTTGTTAGTACTCAGATTTTACTCCTCTCTTTTATGCCATTTAATATAAGGAATGTAAAAAGCAGAATGAGTTGAATCAGCTGCTGAGACTCACATATATCTCATTGAGAGAAAAACGGATGGAAAGATTATGAAGTACTCCTGGCTCATGAAGGTATGCTAACTTCGTCATATCATCAACTCCAGCTGGTGGTGCCTCTGTATCTTTAGGATATATACTAGAAACGCTAGCAACAATCTGAAATTGAGGTATATGTTAACTACTATCAGTTTATTTGCTTCCTTATGCTAGTCTTTCTGGCATCAATATTTTTATTTTTGCATTATCGCCAGTTGGTTTTAAAACTAGTGCCATCCATTTAACTAATCTGCCTTGTTAGTCTGATCCAAAATACTCCATGCCCAACACGACTAGGGGAGTCAAAGAAATTCTAGTGTTTTGGCTCCAAGAAATTGGCATATTAAGATTTCAAACCCGATGACCATCATATTGGAGGAATTTTGTTTCACAGATTAGACTTTTTTTTTTCCTGTTTTAATTGTAGTGCAGGCTAATTGAGTATCAATGTATCCTTGGAAATGAAAATAAGTACAAATTTGTCGGATGAAACTACTTTTTTTCATCCGAGATTGGTGGTTGTGTCGCTGACCAGCTTGATTCTGTTCTGATACTATGAGGAATATTGCAATAGTTTCTCTCAGGTTCAATCATGTTCTATGTGATGAAAACTTGGAAATGTCCCTGCTATAAATCCATTATTCAACCAAAACTATCTTTTGGCCAAAAAAAAAAACCAAAACTATCTCATAACTATAGACGCGGAAATATCATCAAGATTTCGGATCCGAAGTTATGGTACTAAATTGCTAATACCGGACAATGAGCAACGTTCTGCAACATAAAGCTCTGAAATGCCTAAGATATATACAATATAAATGAACCGAATGAAGCATTCTGGTGTTTCATAGAACAAATGAAAGAAGCTTACAGTTTTTCCATCTGAAGTAACGATGGTGGCGTCGCTGCCATTGATTTGTGTGACCTCACCATCAGTCCAAGCAATCTCAGGATCCTCAACCCAGACATGCGATCCAACAATTATATTCACTGGAGTTCCCTGAACACCCCACCATGGCAAGAAAGAAAGAAAAGAAGAATCAATAACAATCCCAGACCCCAAAGTGAAATTTAGTTCAACATCAGAAGCTCATTACCATGATGCTGCTAAGTTTCGTTGATCATGAAAGATATATCTGAGAATGTGTGAAGACTTAAAGAGCTGAACTTGATGAAATGATAGGTACTGATTCAACTCAGAGAGAGAGCGAGAGAGAGAGAATTGGTTAAGGAAAGGAAAGGTGATATGGTGTTGTATCAATGACAGAGCTCAGAAAGAAAGAAAGCAGAGAGAAAAGGAAGGAGCAAAAGGGAGTACAAAAGAAGAGGAAATGCCAGGGTGGTAAGCTACATAAAAGCTAAAGGTGCAACAACTTCTTTTTGCTCATTCCATCGTAGATGCTGACATGGCGCCTCTACATATATAGAAACAGTTGTGAATGTAGAATTGAATTGAAGTTGTGTGGTGTTGGGACATGATGAGTGTATGTGGGGCCTTTGCTTAAGGAAGACGAAGAATAGATCACCGGCCAGGTGATATAATTTAGATTCTTAAAAGGGTGTGATTTGGTGAGCTCATATGGGTATTATTTGATCACACCACCATGCATAGCTGTTATGGCATCATACTCTAATTTGGCTTTTTGTATTTCACAGTACAAATCTTAACTTTAATCTGTTCTGCTGAGACTGATAAATAGTTCTGTTATTATTATGGTCAACACAAAACAAGCTACAGGTTATTTCTTTCTTGTGACTAGGCTCAAGATCCAAGTTTGATTAATATCAGACACATTGATTAATTAACCAGCAGGAAATTAAACAGCCCAATAAGTCAAGTCAGTAAATTGGTAAGGATGTGCTGATGAGTAGTCATGGAAGGCATAAACGTGCATACATATAGACACTTGAATTTATTAAGAAATATTTTGATAAAAAAAGAAAAAAGAAAAAGGAGGGGGGGGGGAGATGAACCACAGAAAAGCTTCCACGTGGAAAATTGGAAAGGGAAAAGGAGGCAAATTGTGTGAAAACTTTGTGCAAGTCTTCCCCATCCACCAAACCTTGTAGGTTGCCTTCCTCTTTCAATCTTTTTGAGCTTTCGACTCTCAACATTATCATTCTTTTCATCAGATCAAATGGCGGTGGAGTCGGTCGGGCACGGCCTACCCTTATATATATATAGGTCAATTTAGACATGTTTGGCATTCTCTTTTGAAAGGAAAATGATAACCCAAATATATACGTAACTACCCTTACTGTTACATTATCATTCAGATGGCATAGTGACATGTTTCCCATCTCGTCAATACGCATTCATCTGTTTAATTCCTGATTAATTCTGTTTGAGCTGAGGCTCTGTTCTATACCTATATATATATATATAGAGAGAGAGAGAGAGAGAGAGATAAAACACATGAATCATAACTTAACATTCGGTTGTTCGAGTTGAAATTTGTATGCACCACCACATCTTGATCCAAAACCTTGATTTTAAAGTTTATGGATCTTTTTGCTTACATAACTTTTTTCAAGAAAATTTAGTTAAGAGTCTCACTTTGCAAAATTTATTACCTGAGAGAATCTAATATATTTTTATACATAAAAAGTACTACAACTCTTGAGTGATATGCTAGTTTAACTGCAAAAATTAGATCTTATATGAAAAACAGGAGGAAGAAGTTTATTTACAAGGAGGAAGAAGGGAAGGAGGGAGGCAAGAGGCCAAGAATGAGGGGAGAGAGGATTGAGAGCGATGTGGGACCTTAGACGGAAGGAAGAGGGAATAATAAAGAAACAACACAGCGTGGCTTTTGCAACCAAAGCTGTCTTCATCATTCTCTTCTCTGCCCTCATGCTGCCATCATTACCCCCTCCCTCCCTTCCTCCCTTCTTCCCCCCACAATTTTTTTTCTTTTTTATATTTTATATATGTGTGTGTACACACACACACATATATATATTGGGTGCTTCTGTAGGATTAGGAGGAGGAGGAGGAGTATCATATGAAGATGCTTCTCTTGTCGGTCTTTTAGTTGGGCCCATGTTCCTCTCCTGACCTTTCTTTTGGGATTGTGCTTCAAATGCCACTTTTAGAACAACTGTCCTTTGACTCTCCCAGTATTAGACCGCCCTCTTTTGGTTCTCTCCTTCTTTCTCTTCTGTTTCCTAATTTTTACCCTTTCAATGTGAAATTGGAAGTAAAACAAGAACAAATTCTCAGTCAAGAGCCAAGCATTGGGTTTCGCAGTTATTAAGAAAGAAAGAAACGACATATCCCTTTCTCTTCTCTCTCTATCTCTTGGATTTTAGTTTTCTCATTTTTTTTTTAAAAAAAACCGCCGTCGTTTTTGGAGTTTGAAAGGACCTGCGAATTGCATATTCATGGGGATGAAACAAAATAACAAATACCAACTAAAACTGCTTTACAGTTGAGATTAATAAATGTACTTAAGATATATTTTCCTCTCAAAAACTTTCGTATGAATTATTTGACATGGTGATTATGTATTTAATAATGCTAACTTAATGAAAATTAACATATGCACAAGATAATGGATAATTTTCCCTTATATTTAGGCTCCTACCAAAACTCTAATTTACAGAGAGAGATGAGATGGGGCAGGGCAGGCCTTTTAGTGAGACCCCATTTAACCTCTCTTTCTCATTGTCTGAAAATGTCTCCCAAACAAACAACATCCCTCAAAAAAATATTTTTACACTTTGAGATAAAATTTCTCCCACGTATATATTTTATATAATGTAAAATTATTTAAGATAAACTAAATCATACATCAAAAATACGTCATAAGGAGGTTGCTGATAATATGAGTTGCCAAGACATCAAGATCTCCATATAGGCTTTTAAAACTCAACTTATTTAAACTTTTATTAAATATCATTATCATACTTTACGATGTAATATTTGTAAATTATGAATAATGTGACTCGTCTTTTAAGGGGGGAAAAAAAAGAATAGTTCGCGGAATTCGATTACAAGGAAATCTAAATAGTAAAAATCAACATACTTCTCATGATATGGTTGGCCAGTGGCCGGGGCTCAATCTTTTTCAATGTGACATGACGGGACCACCCAAGATTATTGGATCAAGTGTGGCCCCCTGTTCATACTTTGTTAGCTAAAAAAAATAAAGAAAATAAAAAAAAAAGCTTATTCTAATTAGCAAACCGAAAAAATGGAATCTATTTTCGTATTTTATAAATCATTTTATGAGAAAATTAGTGAAAAATCCCTATTTAAAATTTTAATTGGCCAGAAAGACTTAATTGGTGCAAGTACAAGTATGATTCGTAAGTGCAACATATTATCTGCTCTGTGCAATTGCACACAGCGGATGATATGTTGCATTCAGCAGATGATATGTTGTACTCACAGATCATACTTGCACTTGCATAATTTCATGTCCTTCTGACTAATTAAAATTTTAAATAGGGATTTTTCACCAATTTTCCCTTATTTTATCCCGACCTCCTGAATTATTACTCCTATTTTTCACCTAATAAATCAATCTTTCAGTTCTATAGTCTTATTTTTCTGATGCATTCAACATCTCAGTATTGTGTTATTAATAAAATTAGGGTGTTAAATGTACCTAAAAAATAAAATTTGAGTGTTGGGTGTATATGAAAATGCACTTTTACCAATATAATCTATATATATTACCCCCAATTCTTAATATAAGAACAAGTTTGACTTTTAATTTGATCCTAAATATAAAATTCTAAATTCATTTTGTCTCTAATATTTATTCATTTTTCCAAGATAGTCCTTGTAGCAGTTCTATATGTTAAAGATTCCATCAAATGACGGCTCTAATTAACACATATGATTAGTAAAACTTTTTTGAAAAAAATAATACATATTTATTATAAGTAACTAACTTAACAAATTTTCTTAATATATTGAAATTAGTCAACTAGCTCTCATATTAAGAATTAAAAGTAGTATAATCTATGAGGAACACGTACTCTTCCTGTCCTTAATATAGGACCTAATTGTTGAGTTAATTTTGGTCCTAAATATGAGACCCATTTCTCATATTTATCAGTTTTCTCTAAATCACCCCTATGAATACTCCCTTAACCATAATCAAGTAGAAGAGGAAGGAGAGGTATTAAGAAAGATGATTATGGTATTTTATGAAAAATGTCTCACATTTCTTATAATTAACTAACTTACCTAACTTTCTTAATCTAATCAAATTAGTTAAATGGGTCTTATATTAAGGACTGAAAGAGTAACATTTTTTCACATATTTCACCAGGGCTCAAAATTCAAATATAAATTTCACTATAGATTATATATATTTAATTGCTGCTTGGGGCCTCATTCTTTTTTTTTTTTTTTGACCGGAGCTTGGGGCCTCATTCTGAGACTTTAAAGAATTTTTTTTTTGTTATTTAAAGAGTTAATATAATCTTTGGTGTCTCAAATTTGCCTTTATTTTGACTTTAGTCCATCACGTTTCAAACCATATGTTTTGATCTCTTAAGAAGCAAAATGATCCAGATTTTTATTAAGTTATAGGGACCAATACTTTAAATAAAAAAACCTTAAGAGATCAAAATATATTATTTGAAACTTCAGAAATAAAAACCCAAATGAAGATAAATTTAAGAGATCAAAAATTATATTAGTCCTTAATTTAAAAAAAAAAAAAAGGAAGAAAAAGAATCAATTTCGGGCCTACGAGGTCTTCTTACAGTGTAAGAGCCCTAATAAAAGCGAGAAAGGGCCGTTTTTGGTTCAAACGGGCTTTTCCCTTTGGCCGAATAAGGCTCCTAGAGAGAAGCATATGTGAATTTTGGGCTGGGCCGCTTTGGACTTTATCTTTCGGGTAAAACAATATTCAAATTAAGTTTAAAAAAATTAATAATTACTTGTTGGGAGTTTAAAAAAAATTAAGTTAAGAAAACAAATCGACAAAAACATCATTAAAATAGTAATGTTTCTCATTTTATTTTTTTAATGATATATTAATTATTTATGATAAATCAAACATTTTCTTTCCATATTTCCATCGTTACCTGCCTTCCAAGAATTATGCTTAGTCTTAATCATAATTAATTTTGACTAAATGTATATATGAAATGGTCAAATACAGTGTAAGACAGCTCGTTATGTTGGGGAAAAAAAAAGATTACAATATTTTATTTGTAAGAAAAATAATACAATATGTACATATAATTTGATCGCCTGTTACGCTTTCTTGACTCTGCAATTGCATAATTAGACAATAATCTAGA